ATGAAGTTGCAAAATATGCTATGACCCTGCCTCCCCCACTTTTTGAAATGTACCTACGGCTGTGATGAGACCTACGGTTATTGTTACTTCTCTGGTCATGATGTCAGCCCTCAGCCTCGCCCTCAACCACATCCAGTGCGGCTTCAAACCCTTTGCTATATTTTAATACCGGATATAAGATCTACCCGCTTTACAGTTGAATCAAGGAACCAACGAAAAGATTATACCGCACAAGTTACCCAATGCCAACGAGTTAAAGCTGGCTTTCTTGACTTGGTGTTAAGAAATGACCAGTGTTGAATACCAGCAGACGCTATTTTTTTTAAACCATTCTTGTTTATTTGACATCCAGTTTTGTGACATCCGGTGGCATCAGGTCGAAATTCTGGTTCACTTAAGAAGGGTTATGGCAGGCCACCTTGAAATACACAAGCCGAATGATACTTGAAGCAGTGAAAGCGAACTGTACAAACTGTACAAGGTACAAAGCTGTATAAATAGCTGTACTGAAATTTACATACACTAGTTTTAATGAACAGGATGTACATTACATTGTATTCGCGTTCGAACTCAGCGGCGAGTTCCCATTTCCACAAGCTCTACCGCAAGGGTCAATCCCATCCATTTCTCGACGATTATTCGAGTATTTTTTTCTCTCCAGATCGCTTTCTTTAACCTCCACAGATCAATGAAGCTTCAGAATTGGGATATCCTGACGATAATTGGTTTCCACCAAATGAAACAAAACCGATGTCATATTGCTGCTTGTAATGTCTGCTTGCATCACGCTAAAGAATCACATCTGAATGCCAAAGGTCAAGATCACTCAAAACAGGATACTGTTACACTTCTTCGTATGTGAAGCAGTTTCTGCAGCACGGGAGCAAATTGGTTCCCATAACGTCTGCTTTCATCGCATCTGACAAAATAGCTAAAGACCAATGTTCAAAATTGCGCAGAATCGATCGCTTATTATTGTTCGCTGTGAAATAATTGCAATGCAATTGGTAGTATCTTTGCTCTCGTTACGTCTATTATTAAACTATCCCAAACACTTTACCCTCACCCGACGTAGCCATTTTCCAACCACAGTCCACGAGGGGCGGGGGGGGGGCGCGGGGGGGGGGGGGGGCTGGGTGAGCTGGCAGTCACCCTACAGGCTCCCGAACTAACGCAGATAGAGTATCAGAATAAAAAAGTAGGCATGCTGTTCTCGGTCAAAGCTGTCTAAACATATCCAGTTTTGGCGTTAGGCCAATCCGGTCACGATGATCATATTAAAGATGGCATGCCACGAATGAGATCAATTATATCTATGACCTCTTTTTAGTAACTCTATGACCTATTTCTATAGTAACTTTCTTTCTTCCTATATTTATTTTTGCGAGGGATGTAGTACCTTTCTTGTTTCGTTTTTTTATATTTGTGCCGTAATGCTTCTAGAGGTCTAGCCACAGCATTCGGCCACCGCTTCAGCTCACGGTGGTGTGGAAAAAGGCGATCCGGTTTGCAAATCTGGTTTGAATCCAGATCCAGATCCAAAAAGTGAATCTGGTTTGTCTTATTCAGACAAGTTCTAAAACGAGGCAGAAATGCAAGCATGATTTTGTAGGGAGGGCTCGGGCTGGGGGGGGGGGGGGGGCATTGGGCGGGGTGGGCTTTAGCTCCGCGAGAACTGATCACAATAATTTCTCACTCTCTATCAGGAGCTATTTACGGTGCCAAAATAAAAAGATATGGGCTAATGTGCCCTCCTCTCATAGCTACACTTATGGGAACGTATGGGGAGAAGTAACCTTTGCAGCTGCTGAAACACTAATTGCGTGTATCAAAATGAATCGACAATACATGTTGGAATCTTAATTCGTGTATAGCCTTCAAATGTTTAGAGTGGCTGGTAAATAAGGTGTAAAGGTCGTATTTTATGAAACTACTCCCAATTTATGATTGTATAGTTAACAAACTATCGTTTTCCGAGATAATTTGAAACATATTGGCGCGCTTCATTCCCAAGCCCCTTGCGGTGGTGAACATGGAAATCACGTGTGGTTGGGCTACAACTCAAGGCATTGCACTGATTCGACTACGCAGTTTTTCACGCACCACAGTGCCGGAGCAGTAACCGCGCCTCGGTCGCGTCATGTTTGTCTCGTCGCCGTGAACGACGCTGTTTATCGTCTGCAGCCAGCCGCGGCGCATTCGCTGCGTGCCACCCATAAATACTGTTCTATCTAGAGCGACAGGCAGCGGAGCAGAGCTTCACCACACACTACTCCGGCCGCGGCCAGTGTGGCGTGTTATCACCGGCTCACAGAGTCCTCCCCCCCTCCCCCCGCCCCGCCAGCCCGAACTTGGTGTCCATTCATCCTCTACTCCGTGGCCCCTCCGCGTGACGCGGGCTGGCATTCGTCACCTTGTTCTCCAACAATTTGGTCGTTGCCCCCATGCCCTTCGTTTGCCTGTTCTCCCGGTAGAAGCTAAACCAATGCGTGTTTGTCGCATAGTGATGTAAGACATTTTCATGACGCGCCATACCATTACGTGGCAGGTCATCTGGTGCTAAACAGGGTGCCAGTCCATGTACGCGCTCCTGAGTCACGGGGTCGTCTGTGCGTGGATATAATTGCCATATTTCTGGGTAGCGGCCAACGGGAGCGCCACAACGTCAACAGTCGCCCGCATGATAGGTACCTGGTGTCCTCAGTTTGCAGTTGGATCTCCCGCTGCGCTGACATCGTTCGCACGTGGATGCGTTATCGGCTGAGCACTGACGGAAGCCACCGATTCCTGTTCCCAAATTGCATGCAGTGATCGGTGTTGTTCTGGGACTCAAGGCGATGTAGATTGTTGATCTGGAGGCGCTCAGAAATGCGCTTAATTTCTGTTGATGTTTTTTTTTTACAGGCAGTGACATTTGTTGTAGGTTGGTGGTGCGTTGTGGCATATATGTGTGCGCAAAGGTATAGTGAAAGTGCTGGATAACTGTATACATTAATTACACTATGTATCGTATGTTTTTATCAATACGTTGCGTTCATACCTTACTGCACCACGTGCGGGAGGCTGTTGAGTGTTAAGCGTATGTTTTCGTTCTCAGTACAATAACGCGGACATCACTGAATGGATTCAGATGTATTGACCCGTTTTATATATGCCATCATAAATGACCTCGACAAGTTTTCCTAATCTATCATTTCATAACATACCTCAAATGCCTTTCGGGCGCTCCCAAGTCAACCGCAGAAAGGGCAAGTTCTTTCCTCTTTGACAACTGGGAGAAACTGATAAGTACAGATAAAGGTAAGGAAGAGTGACTAACCTCCAAAGTTTGTGTAGTATGCATCAATTTTTCTCAACGGCTGTAGTTTACCTATGTTTACTTAGACGTTTCGAAGGAGTAACACCTGAAGTGCTTCCTGCATTTCGTAGGGTTATTGGGCACTTTTCAAGTTGCCACGATCGTCCGCTCCATCCGCGGCACGACCAACCGATCGTCCGCTCCGTCCGCGGAGCGACCAACCGATCGTCCTCTCCGTCCGCGGCACAACCAATCGATCGTCTGCTCCGTCCGCAGAGCGACCAACCGATCGTCCCCTCCGTCCGCGGCACGACCAACCGATCGTCCGCTCCGTCCGCGGAGCGACCAACCGATCGTCCGCTCCGTCCGCGGCATGACCAGACGATCGTCCGCTCCCTCCGCGGAGAGGCCAACCGATCAATGTTGGACCGACCTTGATGTTTACTGTACACATGGGCTGTCGTGCAATGCTGGAAGCTGTCCTTGCAGCTAAGCGAGATATTTAGTGATAAGATGATGCTCTCCTTTTGGGCAACACCGTCGAGCCAACCTCGTGTGACGTACACCGACCGCGAGCTCTACATGCAAATCCCTCCACGCAGACACCTGACTTTTCGTTGATATCGTTTAACTTTATTCAGAGCGTTTTAAGATATGTAATGCGTGGAAAAGTCTGTATAAGGGATTGGATACACATCTTGAAGTTGACTGCAAAACACAATAATAACATTGTTTCACAGTTGCAGCCATTCACAGTTTGTTACGAACGTTTTTGTTTCTCCGTAAAATACGACCAATTCTACACAAAGATGTCGCAGACTTTACTCTTCTACATGATTGCCACTTTCACGATGAATTAATGCTCTGGGTTTTTTTTTATTGCTAAAACGTTTCTATAAAGTTTTAGTAAAAACGAAACACTGACAAAGAGACCATTGTATTCGTGCAATTCTATTAGCATGTAATAGATAAAGCACATGCATCCAACAAGTGAGAATAAATGTTCCTTATTGAACGAGACCCTTAATGGACATTTCTTCAGCCCATGCCTGGAGCTCGCCCAAATTCTAGGAAAATATTAGACCTAGCAATCAGTAATGTACATCGATCGACGCTGTTGGATGCCAACTGATCTATTATTGTTTTCATCGGTGCTGTGTGGAGCAAGGCGGGCTTTGATGATCATTTATGTCAAGGATCATTAATCTTGGATCGTCCATGCAAGCTCTGTAAGTACTGCAAATAAGCTCTGTCAGGTCCGCGTATCTTTAAACAATGACGCTTCAAGGGCATAAGGGCTTGTTTTGTCCCGCCCGCGTCAGGGATGCCAACGAATGGTTGCGCTAAGTTTTGAAAAATTTCGATAGCAAGGGATCTGGCATCACACCTGTTCATAAAACCATAATCTTTTCATTGCCAGTTAACCGTAATTTTATACAATTGTGCCACTTTAAAAGCAAATTTGTAAATATCTGTGAAACATTTCTGGCTAGAAGCCGTTGATAAAAGGTGTGTGGCTACAAAATCAACGCTGAAAGTTTTTTTACGGCTTTAAAACTGTTGCATGTAGCCCTTCGTGAAAAAGCTAATGTTTCATTTTTTATCCATGTTCACAACAAGCATATGGGAATAGATTGAGCCGTTTAGTATCGTTCACCATCGCAACCTTATTCTTTCGGCTGCAAGGGAAACGCGATGTCAGTGAAAATATTTATTTGTTAACACTGGTTGCAACTTTGCAGCCTTAATGTGCATAGGAAACAGAACATGTTGAAAATTATGTATCTTCTTTGGCCAGTTTTCGATGTTGAAAAATTGGATGCCCTTTAACGAGATGAGAAAGTATCACTGATGAACTCGTCAGTTACAAGTTTTAAATAGCAAGACAAAACTAATGGTGATGCCCATTAGTTGCTCAACACATGACAAGTCTATAACAAACATGTGACATTCTGGGATGGTGCAGTGCGGCGCAAAACGTAAGCCTTAAGCGTGCTAACAATGAACCAGAACGAATGTTAACCCGTGTTTCCGATACGCAGCCTTTGTGAAAGCAACTTATCTAAGCAGAAAGAAACAGAACTTGCATATGTATCGCGCTTATGCATATATCTGGCATCGCATATGCATATGCCCAACTCGGTTCATGTGTCAAGCAAGCGGCCCTTACACCTTTACAGTCCAGGCAAATCGCGACGCACGAACACATCATCGTGGGCAGTCCAGCGTGGTGACGGGGCTGGCGGCTGCCTGGCTGTACCCGGGGCGTGACGTCACTGATTCTCCAGTGACCCCCAGGCCTCCCTTCAGGCAGCGAGAGGCCGGTTAGAACGGCGGCAGGGTCCCCAGCGGTCCGCTCGGCACCGGCACGTTCGTGCGGTCCACGTCCACCAGCGCCTGTTGCTCGGGCGTCAAGCTATCGTACACCCCCTGGGGCACCAGGTCTGTGAACAAGCGTACGGCCGTCATCAGGGGGTGTGGGGCTGGGGTTGGGGGTGGGGGGGGGGGGGGTGGGACTGCCGACCTGACGAATATTGGGTCTCATGTTAACGTCTGGACAGGCTGACGAGAACATCACAGCTTGAACGATTTCGTTGGTCGACGTGCGTTGGGATCATCTCTTTTGAGCTGTGATTATAGGAATGTTGGATATGTTCGTCTTCTTGCTCAGCAATTGGCATACTTTCCATACCAATGCGCGTTGATAATTGACTCAAGATGTGGGTGCGTGTTATGTGTAGCAGGAGTCTTACACTCCGCACTTACTGAATCCTTCACTGTTAATATTGGTTGTTCGATGCAGTCACAGCAGGATACACCGTAAAGGTACACTGTAAGGGTTGGTGCTGTGGATGAGTATCCGCCAGAGGAACTGAGGTGTGTGAACTGACGTGGGCACGCTTATTGTATCCTCCTGATGAGCTCTGGGTCACTACCATCCCTGTTGAAGTCATGCCCGTTCATGGAAGTAACGCTTAGCTGGACAGCAGTAATGTACAAATTCGGCTCAAGGAGCGTACGTGTGCCACAGGATACATCAGGCCACGGAACGCTAACCTCATTCGTTAAGGCGAGTGACGCTCCCCGACCCTGGCACAGACTATATCACGCCACTCGGCGCTCGGCCATACCGTTACATCTGTAGACCAGGTCCGACCAGATGATCATCTCCTGCGAGAAGCTGAACACGCCTATCCTTCCTCCCTTCAGAGTGCCGTCGAATATGTTGCCAGAGTCGGCCACCAGATCCTCGCCCTGCGAACGGGCGGCGAGGCCGGCGGCACAGTCACCAGTATGACGCCCCTCTACATATGAGACCGGGTCGTCAGGAACATCACGCCGTGTGATATACCGGTCGGCAAGGAAGATGGCTGACAAGAACGGTGCTTGTGGATTGCAAAAGTGAGCTGGTGATGCCTAACTCCAAAATTTGTCTTGTTCGCACTATTCATGCAAACATGTGCTCATCAGTAACTCACGACTCTCATTATAGCCAAATGTCAAAGATGAAGGGCCGCGAAAGACTCGAGCGTTCACAGAACCATATCGGGACGTGCTCAGCGAAATGTATTCGTTGGTAAGACACCAGGGATGCTGGATGTTCATGGAGCTATTTGCGGTACAGAGTGGTGGTGCCTGCTATTATCGTGGTATCGCGGAACCGGCTGCTTTACCTCGTACATCCTAAGTCGGATGAGATTGATCTTGGGCCGGTGTATCAAGCTCCACCGGTAGGCAGTCTTCTGTCTCCAGCCGACGTTTCGAGGGTCTTTCCATAGCAGCTTTACCTGGCAGGCGGCATATTATGCGTGTGTCATGCACAACGAGCCAACATCGTGTGTCCACGTGGCGTAGAAACAGAATTGCGTCATATTACTTTTGCATAGCCATACTCTCAGCACGAAGCCAGTGTCGCACAGCACTTCTAAATAATGGATACGGTAGGAGCCCAGCTATCCCACTCCTTCAAATCTGGTTAATAAGCAGCATCGCAGTGCATTACACTAACCAAGCTGAGCCTGAAAACCCCACGGTACCGACCCGCCAGCCACCGACAACGAGGCCGCCTTGAGTCGTGATGGTGGCATCGGCCAGCGCGCGGCTTCGACCAGCGCCTCACCTGGTTGAATGTGTCGCCGGTGTGCCAGAGGGCGTTCCTCATCATGACGCCGGGGCCGGTGTCGGATTTGACGGCCTTGAGCTGCACGCCCGGCTCGGCCACGGCGCGGAACGGCGACGACTGCCAGTACGTCTGCGTGTTCTTCTTCCACATGACTGTGTAAAAGCGGCCGTTGTCCTGGTAGCTGGCGGGGAGGGCAGGTGCCTGACGTCACCCGGATGCCGCCCCGCCGCCGCGTGCCCGGGCAGTGGGCGACGACCCATACATGCTGAATAGGCTCGGCCTTGCAGCCACCAGCGCCGGGCTCGACAGCTGGTTCAAAACCGCGATAACGAAATGCAATAAATGCGACAGAAAATATTTCAATTCGTTGCAACAACCTAGGACAGTACAGATGTTGCGCATGCACTGAGGAAAGAATAGAAGAGAATATACATTACTACATGAATGTGATCACCGCAAAATAGTGACTGGATTTTGAACTCTGGCAGCGTGGGTTTTCTTTCTAATAATCAATAATGCAGCAGTTCACACCTGAATACGAAACCAACGTAGTCGTCGTCGATCTCTGTGTCGATGAAGAACGTCCCCTCAAAGTCCAGTCCACTGAAGCGGTGATACCCTGTAAGCCAGCGATTGATGCTGAGTCCGTAGCGCATAGCGTCAGATGTACATGGTGCAGGATGAACACTTTTATCATCGTCCTGAAACTCGGTATCACGCAGCTGCAAACCAAGCTGTGCGCCCCTAGTCTGTTGTCGACCAACGCAGTTCGGGCGTAAAGGCTACGTCCCCTGACAATGCTATTCCTTAATGACAGGAACGACGGCAGGGGGCCCTTGAAATATTGACCACCAAATATTTGTCTTCACTGGTCGGGTTAAGCAATGCGCATGATATAACACGGCATGCACCATGATAGCAATATAATGGTGTACGGTATATGGTATAGTGGTCACCAATATAATGGTAACGAGGCGAGAAGTGACGGGCCCTAGCTGATGAACATTCGAAACAAAACAAAAACATGACAAGGCAACACCTTTTAAAAGACAGCCTTCGATGAGTGTGTATATGTTAGAAATTCGGTTTACATATGAAAAATACAATGAGGTTTGATAATACGTCAATGACTGGTGAAAAGCATGAAACCAGCCTTATCGGCTACGGCAAACATCTTTGCTGCCTCCTTTTAATACAAAGTGGGTAGAAATCATGATCACTAGCACAGCACCCTGAATACCAATGCAGGAAAAACGCGCATTATTTGTACAGTAGCATGAAAAGTTTCCAATACCATGGCATGAACAAAGGTATCTCAATTTTTTTAGTTAACACGCGTTCGGGTGAGGCTCACTGGTCCAGTTAGAAGGCTTTGCAAGGTGCCTTCTGAATGGCGTGGCACAGGCACTTCAGACTTTGTAGGGCTATAGCCAGTTGAGTAGCGGATCAGTGTGTATACGAAAATAACGGTACCTTGTAGAACCCCGGCCTCTGGCTGGTCAAAGTGGGGACATGAGTGTCAGCGAAAGCAGTTCCTCGGAATCGTTCAATCCGATGTGGCAACTGATTACTAGACGAATCCATGCATCTCCGATATGTTTTCAAAGGCAACGAGATAACTGATTGAGAATTACAACTTGTTCCATGGACCTTGGGTCCGGTATGAAGGTGGGACCGGAATCAACACAAAACTGCTTTTGTACTAGAGAAATTCTTTTGTGGGGTAGCTTGACGCTCGTTTCTAAGTTTTTGACCACACGGAAAACACACATATTGTTTAGATTCCATGAAGGTCAGACAATATCACTGACCTAAAGTGATCCGGGTCAACCATTTGTTACTGGGAATGTGACTCCAGCGGAGTAACTGGCGTTAATCTGAATTAGAAAGCAAAGAAATCTTAAAGAGTTTTGGTCACCGCGATCTTTTAAAGCTTCAATGAAGTCATCGACCTAAAACGAACGCCAGTGACATTTTCCTTTAAACAGATATCTTTGGTGAAAGGTGGATGGAAGAGGATGCCTGAAGGCACTTCTGACACCGATCTGGAGTTGGACCTTGTTTGGCTTAATTTGACTCGAATGCCAGGACACGGGATTTCAAGGCTTGACGCACGTCAGTTCCCATACAGGCCTACCTACGCTGTGAATTGGGGGTCTCATGATCACCGTGGTATGTGACACTCTGGCGCGTTAAGCGTCCGGAGAAGGTTTTCTCTGATGCTACGTAACGTGTTTGTACTAGCTGTGTAATGTATGCTGCGTGCAATGTTCGTGCCTGGCACGGTCAGTCATGTGGTATGTAGCCTGGCACGGTCAGTCATGTGGTATGTAGCCTGGCACGGTCAGTCATGTGGTATGTAGCCTGGCACGGTCAGTCATGTGGTATGCAGGTGCTGTTGACGTGTGCAAGTTGTCCGTCACCACCCACCGACGGCCAGACCAGGGTCGCTGTTCATCGTCTGCACGATCTCTGCGCCTTGATTGTAAATGACCCACTTTGGGTCGATCTGCGACTCCCCGAACGGATCAAGCACGACGGTCTGGTACGTCCTGTGGAGAATAGGAGAGAGCAGAGCCTGATGTAATATCATGAATGCGTACAGGGACACCAAATGTTCCCAGTATATACGGAGTCAGCATGGCTAGCATAGCCTCCGCCCTCGGGTCGGCGATTTTTATTTGAAGCCGCTGTCCGTCTGAAGACAGCGAGTGTTGTAACCAGTACGCGCCTGTAAATGGTTCAGCAAACTCGTCTCAAGAAGTGGTGCCGAGGAGACATGATCCCCGTTTGCCCTCATGAGGCAGACACGCAGTCGTATATCCGGGCGGCGTTTTCCGTTCGAACAGTGGTTACTTCTCTCCCTAGACGTCTAACAGTCTCCTCCATGCCACATAACAAAACCTCGCACATGGGAAAGCCGGCGGTCTCCTTTCCTATTCCATGCCGGAAGACTGTTGGTCTTCTTTCCATCCAGAAGACGAGCAGTCCCCCAATCCACAACAACGGCCGGACCGGCTCTCATCTCCATCCAGAAGACGAGCGGTTCCCCAACCACACAACAACGGCCGGACTGGCTCTCATCTCCATCCAGAAGACGAGCGGTCCCCCAATCACACAACAACGGCCAGACCGGCTCTCATCTCCATCCAGAAGACGAGCGGTTCCCCAACCACACAACAACGGCCGGACCGGCTCTCATCGACGCCACATCGCAATCCCGGCGATGCCCTCCTCATCGATCGTACCGGAAGTCGGTGGCGAAGATGCGCGAGTTGTTGGGACAGTTATCCATGATGTTGGGCACGGTGTCGCCGTCGTTGTCGTCCTGGCAGACGTCGCCACGGCCGTCGCCGTCGGTGTCCCGCTGGTCGGAGTTGGCGACCAGCGGGCAGTTGTCGCTGGGGTCGGGCACGCCGTCGTCGTCGTCGTCCTGGTCGCAGGCGTCGCCGACGCCGTCACCGTCCGTGTCCAGCTGGTCGGCGTTGGCGACGTCCGGGCAGTTGTCCGCGCCGACCTGGAAGCCATCCCTGCGACGTCCGAGACGACCAGGTGGTGTCAGAGGGCGACGGGCGGGAGGCTGGTGCTACTACGGGGCAAGCGACGCTACCACCGTGGAGAGCGTGTTATCACGGCACTGACAGCGCAAGGAGGGGTCAACAAATTATAGTTATGCTGCTAGTTGAGGTGATTTCATTAAGCGGTTTTTTTCAAATATCGCATCTTCAACGCACGCGAACATAAAATTGCCAGTTCAAAAATGAATGCGCATTGTCACCACTCAATCCCGTGGGTAGCTCGGCACTCCAGCATAGCCTGTCACGCAGCGGAGAGTCTGCCGCCTTCTGCAGCTCCCGCAGCTGCCTCCCCCTCGCCTGCCCGCGAGCCTCACGAGTCGGGGTCGTCGTCCGTGTCGCAGACGTCTCCCACCAGGTCCATGTCGCGGTCCTCCTGTGCGGCGTTGGCCGCCTCCGGACAGTTGTCGCAGGCGTCACCCCTTCCGTCGCGGTCCATGTCGCGCTGCTCCGGGTTCGCCACCAAAGGGCAGTTGTCGTCCTCGTTCAGGATCTCTGGTGACAGGGGCGGAGCTCGCTATTACCATCCTGCTACACTGGAAGTTGGTGCAGATGGCATCATTTAAAGGCGTAGGCGTGTCAGAACCCGTAAAGGAGCGGCTGAGTCCCGATGGTCTTTGAAGCGCGCCTGAGATTTTGTTAGCGCACGACTTGACAATGCGTTCTGCTGGCCTTTTCTGGAGAAGGTGACTGACTCAGTATCCACGCTATGTCCTTGCATGCAATATAAGTGCACAAATCACACACTACATGGGGAAGGTATTTGGTGACAGATGTGTTAATGGTTATGGAAGCCTCCTACTGCGATTGAGAATATAAACAACTTCTGCGTTCCACTGAACCTCCAGGTGTTGAGTTTGCACTGGGCTTACAGCACATATCACCTGGCATACTGCGGATGGCACGGTTCTGGATTGTCTTCCTTATCGTCTCCTTCCCGCCTGCATTATCATTCATCACGAGTTCAGCCCTACCTCCCATTCAGTACTATCGTCAATGTCGGGCTCAGCACTGCCGGCAACTCGCTTTGGTCCGGTTAGAGTCCAGTCCTGTCCGCCACCCGTCCACATCGTGCTCAGCCCTAACAGCCACTCACTGTCGTTGTCCATGTCGGGGTCGCAGGCGTCGCCAAGGCCGTCGCCGTCGGCGTCCTCCTGGTTGGGGTTGGGCACCGTCGGACAGTTGTCGCAGACGTCCCCCCGCCGGTCGGCGCCGGCCGGCTCCGAGTCACGCTGGTCCACGTTACCAACCAGCGGGCAGTTGTCCTGCGGCGCAGAGGGCGGCGGAGCGTCGAGGGCGGCTAGCGCTGCAGGGCCGAAACTGGGACCGGGGTACTGGGTCCCGTCGAGTGCCTTTCAGTGCGCGGCTTGTATGACGCACGCGCTACTAAACGTCCCGAGCTAGTGTTAGGATCTGTCTCGGTGAAAGGGCTCATCACCGATCGCTGACCGATCGGTGGTGACTATTGCCATCTGCGATCATTCGCTGGCTCAGAGCACTGGCTGACAAGGTGAGAAAAGGAACAGGACAGCTCAGGTGTGTGTGTGGGGGGGGGGGGGAAGGGGGAAGACGAATAGATGAAAACCAAGCTCGTATTGATAGCAAGCACCCTCCAATCCAAGAGGCCGATGACAATCACGGTTTTTTTTTAAGGACGTTTCAGCTTACCAGGCCATGTTGCACAGTACAAAGATCTAATGCAGAGTTAAGCGAACCACAACACTTGCCGATACGCTTACCGCAAGTGAGAAAAAAAGGCGCATCTCGTGATGCACAAATGACAGATCTATATTGCGTCACGAATAGGTTTACGCTGGTCACGTTCACGGCAAAATGTATCACCCTTTGGGCAAAAGCAAGTCAAATTTCAGAACAGATTTAATGTCAAAAGATGGAAAGACGCAGTTACATCACGTTGACTTGTCCGGCTCCTGAGCGCCGCTCTCACCGGCACTGACGCGACCGCGCCCCGTACACCGCTCTCACGGGCACTGACGTGACCGCGCCCCGGACACCGCTCTCACCGGCACTGACGCGACCGCGCCCCGTACACCGCTCTCACGGGCACTGACGCGACCGCGCCCCGGACACCGCTCTCACCGGCACTGACGTGACCGCGCCCCGTACACCGCTCTCACGGCACTGACGTGACCGCGCCCCTACACCGCTCTCACGGCACTGACGCGACCGCGCCCCGTACACCGCTCTCACGGGCACTGACGTGACCGCGCCCCGGACACCGCTCTCATCGGCACTGACGCGACCGCGCCCCGTACACCGCTCTCACGGGCACTGACGTGACCGCGCCCCGGACACCGCTCTCACGGGCACTGACGTGACCGCGCCCCGGACACCGCTCTCACGGGCACTGACGTGACCGCGCCCCGGACACCGCTCTCACGGGCACTGACGTGACCGCGCCCCGTACACCGCTCTCACGGGCACTGACGTGACCGCGCCCCGGACACCTCTCTCACCGGCACTGACGTGACCGCGCCCCGGACACCGCTCTCACGGGCACTGACGTGACCGCGCCCCGGACACCGCTCTCACGGGCACTGACGTGACCGCGCCCCGGACACCGCTCTCACCGGCACTGACGTGACCGCGCCCCGGACACCTCTCTCACCGGCACGTTGAGCACGTTGTCGCCGTCGGCGTCCTCATCGCAGGCGTCCCCGGTGCCGTCTCCGTCCGTGTCGTCCTGGCCCGAGTTTGGTGTTCCGACGCAGTTGTCCTGCAGCGCGTCGAGTATGACAATTACCCAACTGAAGCCTAGCTTGAGTAACTCGAGCAGTACTTGGGCTTAGGGTACGTGCTACAGGATGAACGCATATGACATGGAAATTATTCAGTTTTGCAGATGTGCGAGTACTGCGGTGGTATTCAGTACCGTCGAAAGCGGGAACAATAAACTGGCCATTTGCGATATGCTTAAGACGGATTTCGCCCACCAAACACGGCCTCATTACCAATATGCAGGACGGTGGAAGCGGGGTTGGAGCGCGAGCCGCCCACACCTTTGAAGAAGTGCGGCATCGACGCTTTTGAGTTTCATTAAAGGCAGCCGAGAGACAATCTTTTTTTGTCGGACCGCCGGGTGCTCTTCTCTCTAGCAGATCCCCTAAGGCGACAGACCTACTAGCATCCCGCCAACACGATCGCGCGCGGAAAACAACCGCAGTGTTTTGCCGCCAGCGACGGTTCCTACTGACGCTGCACGATTCACGGGACACCTGCAGACGGCGCACTAACAGCCAGCGCCGTACCTTGGTGCAGGTGGGGTCGGTGCAGGGCAGCGAGACGTCTGGGAACCGGTCCAGGTCCGTATCGGGGGCGCACAGCCGGCCATTGCCTGCCCAGCCCACATTGCACTGCGCGGCACAGGAGGGCGCACCCGTCAGTTGGAACGAGACACAAGCTGGGTGCTATCTGTCATCTCTATTCCACTGACACGATCAGTCAAGGTAGCTTATCTTTCCGTTGCGACGTGACCGAAATTTTCACGCAATTCTCGGGTTCCGCTTCCGTACGCTCGGCGCTTGTAACGGGAACCCCAGGCTTCAGTCAGGTTTCAGCAGTCAGGCTTCCCAACGCAGAATATCACACTATTCAAAAATACGCGAATAGCGATTCCTTATTTTCCTAGATATGCACGTTTTGCTCAACACTAGCACACCGATGGATTGAATAAACCTGCCCGTATTCCATTCACGATGTCGATAGAGTGCAGCATCTCGAGCTGCGCAGCCGCTCGAGCCGCGCAGCAGCTCGAGCCGCGCAGCCGCTGACGGACATTGCGCCCGGCGTCCGGCGCCCACCCTGCAGGTGTAGATGCCGGGCCGGTCGGTGGTGAAGCATTGGGCGTTGCCGTCGCACCGTGTGCCGTCCGGGCAGAGGCCGGGATGCTCGCTGCAGCCCTCCTCCTGACTGCCGACGAAGCCTTCGATGCAGCCGCCGCAGCGGTACGAGCCGTCCGTGTTGATGCACTCGGAGTTGGGCACGCAGCGCTCCTGCTCGCACTCGTTGATGTCGTGACAGCGCTGCTGGTTCAGGCGCGCAAACTCCAGGCCCTTGCCCTGCGGAGGCGCGGACAGGGCTCAGCAAGGGGCCGTCCCACGGCCGGGGTCCTCACGGCAGCTGCTGTGCAGTTGTACAGCGCCCGATCTGCCAGCTGGGTCAGCCCAGCTGCTGCCACATAAGTGTAGCCGCAGTCGGATCAGCTCCACTGCAGTCCGATGAACAGGAGTAGCGTACTCTGCACGACATGGTCACTCAGAGATATGTTGATCATCACCAGCCATATTGCATGGGGTGCAGGCGCGCACGTCTGGCAGCGTCTCGGCCTTAGGGGGTCCGAAACCTGACCTGTACTAAGGCGCTGCCCTGTAGTCCGGTCGGGCAAGGGCCGGGACCCCTGCACCCCGGCGCTGCCCTGCAATGCGGCCGGGCAGGGACCGGGGTCTCACCTGCATCCCGCCGCTGCCCTGCAGCCCGACCGGGCAAGATCCGGGGCCCCTGCACCCCGGCGCTGCCCTGCAGCCCAACCGGGCAAGGGCCGGGGCCCCTGCACCCCGGCGCTGGCTTGCAGTCCGGTCGGGCAGGGACCGGGGCCTCACTACACCCAGGGGCTGCCCTGCAACGCGGTCGGGCAGGGGCCGGAGTCTCACCTGCATCCCGCCGCTGCCCTGCAGTCCGGGCGGGCAGGGGCCGCAGCGGTAGCCTCCGGCCAGGTTTTGACACGGCACGCGCGGGTCGCACGGCTGAGCCAGCCGGCACTCGTCGACGTCAGTGCACTGGCGACCGTCGCCCTCGTATCCAGGCGGGCAGGCGCCGCAGCGGTAGAAGGGCGCGTCCGCCACGTCCTCGCACTGCACGCCTGGGGAGGGGGCAGACGGCATGACCCAACTGACGGACGGCATGGGTAGACGACAGTGGGAGGGCAGCGGACTGCTTTGACCATTGCATTGCTGGCTGCTAACCCGCACAACGGTCGTGAGTGTGAAACCCGCTCCAGCTAGGACGCGTCCCTTTCACAAACTGCTAGGCAATCCACTATCACAGCGCGGAACAAGACGGCCTGGTACATGCGGCGTACCGTGCCAATTCGAAGTAGCGACACCCACAGGGTAATGAACGAACACCTGAAGCGCACACCTGCCTGGCGAGTGGAGAACTGTACCTGGGAAACAGGGCCGCGACACGCAGCCCCTGAGCGCGGTGCAGGTGGTGCCATCTCCTGTCATCCCTGGCGGACAGGGGCCGCAGCGGGCGCCACCTGCCGTGTCGCGACACTCGACACCTGGCGGAAGGCGCAAAAATCACAAAAGAAAATGGTGGTCATATTGTCCAGCTTGCGAGGAGCTTTTTTGAGATTGGTAATAGGATGTAGCCACTTTATGCATGTGATTGGTCGGGCGCTGCCATACGTTAGGAGGCGGCATGGCCGAGTGGCCAGCGCCTTCGGCTCCCTGTGGGGGGCCCGGGTTTGGACCCTGGTTTTGCCATGACTCCTGAGTATAGCCACCGCATCCGCTTCCGTAGAAAGGATCCTAACGCGCGGCGCACTCCGCTTTAAAAAGGAAATGTTTATGCGCGCTGCTTCTTGAAAAAAATGAGCACGTGGCTTGGCTGGTCTACGTCACAGCATCACGGTTGCTGGCATAATTATTGTCCACGATGTGGCCATGCTGCACTGAAGGCTTGAGGGAACGGGGTATACAGGTCCAAGACAAGCTATTTCGTCAGAGAAGTTTTCAATGTAGGAAATCAAACAACTTCTCAAACCGGAAGTTCTCCGGAAAGCTGTTTTGTCTGTTCCGATAGCTCAGTTTGTTAGAGCGCGTGTCTTCCAATCCACCCACCAGTGGCGGGGTAGATTCGAGTCGCTTGAGGCTCTCGTTATTTGCTCTTGACTGGGATGGCCTGTGGCCGTTGGCGGCGGGTACGCTAAGGGCCAGATGATCTCACAGAGACGGATGTGCCGTGCCCAGCACCGCGGCACGTTAAGCTTTCTCCACCAAATTCTACCGTTTACTTATAATCACGCGCTCGGATAGTGACGGCCAAGGCTCACGAAGCAATACTGCTTAGCGTAGGCTACCATCCAAGAAATGCATCCATTCCAGCGCTTTGGACAAAATCTTGCAGAGACGTGCTGGCTGTTCAGCTCACTGAGGTAAGCACCTTTGAGACCTCGCAGTGAGGCTCATCGAGCAATTAGGAGGATATACCGTACCATGCAGCATATATGAAATATTACTTAAATCTACCAAACCAAAGTTCATCTCGTGTGCCCCGGCTCAAAAAAGATGCGGACGTCTAAGCAATAGCATTCCATGTCGCTTGTGATCACTACAAAAAGCATGGGATGACATATATCTTCATAACAGGTAACCCCCTCCCCTCCCCCACAAAGACCCACAACAGGTGTCAACCACACGTACCCTCGTAACAGGTGTCTGGCTTGCAGATGGGCCGCGGCTGGCAACGCCGGCCATCTCCGACCATGCCTTCTGGGCACGGGCCGCACCGAACGCGACCCTGCTCTTCCACGCAGCGGACCCCCGGGTAGCAGGGGTGCGTGCTGCACGTCTCCCGCAGATTTTCTGGTCGGGACAGATGGCAGCACTGTTACATTCATATTCCGATTAATGCTCCATTTCACAACAGATCCACAGCATGCAGCATGCTTTATCATTGTTGCGCCCTGTAAGCTAAATGCATCATAGGCCAGATCGTACAGAGCAGTTCAGCACACGCTAACCAATCATCTGCCTATGAGCACACACACGCTGCGCATCCTCGTGCTGCACACGCAGAGGGCGTCGCTTTAGATGGGTGGGCACAGGCGGTACAGTATGAGCGGCACAGGCGGTACAGTATGAGCGGCACAGGCGGTGCAGACGGCCCCGAGGGCACAGGCGGTACAGGTGACCCCGAGGGCACAGCCGGTCGGGGTAGCACAGGCGGTGCAGGCGGCCACGAGGCACAGGCGGTCGAGGTAGCACAGGCGTCACAATCCACAGAACCGGGGCGCGAGACGCCGGCGGCACTGACGGGGTCTGCAGGCGTGGCAGCGCTCCATGGTCTGACGCATCCGCACGGCCTCCGCGCTCTGGCGGTCGAGCGCCGAGCGCAGGTCCTTGATGGCCCCCACCATCTCCGACATGGCCTTCAGCATGGCCGGATCAGTGCGCGCGAAGTCCTTCGCCGGCTCGTCCCCTGCAAGGTGGCACACAGAGCGAGACCGCGTCACCGGCGGTACAGCTGGAGCGGCGGTGTTGGACACGCGGTCCAGAGCGCGCTGTATAACGGACGAGAGGAAACGGTGCGGTGGCAGGGCAGAGGTAACTCTCGCTTTCGACTGCGTGGAGCCGTAATTGCTAGCATGCGAAGATTTTGCGTTCAGAGATGATTCAACGACACGGTCCAGTGTGAAAGACGCTGGACGGACCGAGACTCGCTCTCTCGGTGATCATGGCGTCTGAGACGCAGCGTACCTGAGGGCCTAGTCTGGTCCAGCCCCCTCCGTCCCTTGGAAGTCCAGATGCCTCACCTCCCCCCCCCCCCCCCCCCCTCTACCCTCCCGATAGTGGGAGGGTGGTTCTGCGACGCGACGGTTCTCGTAGATCCCGTTCTTAATAACGTCCGTCTGGGAACTGCTGGGAGATCCGGAAGCATGGCTGTAGTTACAAGGCGCAACTCACTCTCTCGAGAGTCCTGCGCGGCCTGTAACGACTGCGGTCTCCAGCCGGAGCAGCCGTGCTCGTAAAGCACAGACGCCAGCGAGGTCTGGTCATAAACGCGTGCCTGCAGCCGCCGGCCGGCCACCTGAAGGCATGTCGGACACGACTGAGAGCACGGCGAGCACGGCTGAAGACACACTGAATACGACTGAGGGCATGCCGAACACGGCTGAAGACACACTGAACACGACTGAGGGCATGCCGAACACGGTTGAAGACATGTCGGATACGGCTGAGAGCACGGCGAGCACGGTTGAAGACGCACTGAACACGACTGAGGGCATGCCGAACACGGCTGAAGACACACTGAACACGACTGAGAACATGCCGAACACGGCTGAAGACACACTGAACACGACTGAGGGCATGTCGAACACGGCTGAAGACACGCTGAACACGACCGAGGGCATGCCGAACACGGCTGAGGACATGTCGAACACGGCGGAGGACATATTGAACACGGCTGAGGGCATGCCGAACACGGCTGAGGACATATCGAGCACGGCTGAGGATAAGCTGAACACGGATGAGGGCACGCCGGGCACGGCTGAGGACGTCTTAGACATGACTGCGAACACACCGAACACGACTTAAGATGCCCTAGTCACAGTTGAGAACATTCCGGACAGAGCTGATGACACATCGGGCACGACTGAGGACGCCCTAGGCATGACTGAGGACATGCCGGACACGACTGAGGACATGCCAGACACGGCTTGGGACGCCCCAGACACAACGGAGAATTTTCAAAACACAGCTGAGGACATGCCGTATACCGCTGAGGAAACCCCAGACACAGCTGAGTACACACCAGGCGCGGCTGAGAACACGCCGAACACAACTGAAAATTGGTCAGACACGGCTGAGGGCGCGGTGGACACGAATGGGGACACGCCGGACACGGCTAAGGACATGGAAGCCATGACTTAAGACACTCTGGACACGTCAGAGGACAGGTCAAGCACGATTGACATCACATCGGACACGGCTGATGATAAGCCGGGCACGATTGAGGGCATGTCGGACACGGCCGAGAACACGCCGGACACGAATGAGCGCAGGGGAGAAAACTGAGGACGCTTCGGGAGCGCTTATGTCAGCCATGAGCGCGTCATTGTCATCACTTATATTACCGATAAGCCGTATTCTTCAAGTAGATAAGTGGTATAACTATGAAAACACCGATTGCAGTCCGTTTTTATATCAATGTGCATCATTGTTATATTATCTCTCTGATTTCCAAGGTACTGAGCTCAGAATTCGTTAGGAGTGCCGCGATCACTGGGCAAGGTGTGCCAGCCACTGTAGCGCATGATGCGTGTCCTGACGACCAACATTATACCCGCTGCCTACAGGACCGACGTTACACCCACTGCCTGCAGGACCGGCGTTACACCCGCTGCCTACTGGACCGGCGTTACACCCGCTGCCTACAGGACCAGCAATACACCCGCTGTCTGCAGGACCAGCGTTACACCCGCTGCCCACAGGACCAGCGTTACACCCGCTGCCCACAGGACCAGCGTTACACCCCCGCTGCCCCAATGGACCAGCGTTACAACACCGCCTGCCCACAGGACCAGCGTTACACCCGCTGTCTGCAGGACCAGCGTTACACCCGCTGCCCACAGGACCAGCGTTACACCCGCTGCCCACAGGACCAGCATTACACCCGCTGCCCACAGGACCAGCGTTACACCCGCTGTCTGCAGGACCTGCGTTACACCCGCTGCAGACAGGACCGGCGTTACACCCGCTGTCCACAGGACCAGCGCCACACCCGCTGTCTGCAGGACCAGCGTTACACCCGCTGTCTGCAGGACCGGCGTTACACCCGCTGTCTGCAGGACCAGCGCGGCTGAAGTCATCCTTTCCACCGTTGACGTCAGCGCTGCCACGCCTCAGCGGAGTGGAGAAGGGAGGGGGCGCTGGCGGAGGTACGTCCGTCGGCTGTGACGAGCGCCCGCACCGCGTTCGCATGGTTCACATTACCAGAAGATTCGTGCCACGCACTCCTTAGGACATTCACAGACGTTCAATATAAGAGCGTGGAAACGCCCCAGTGAGCGAGGGACACTTCTTTCTACTTCGTTGGCCCCTTCTTGGGCTTCAAGTCCAATTTGTTATGCCAGTTCTGCATGTGGATTACCGTAGCATTAATGGTCAGCTTCCATTGAATATGGGGTCATCGTCCCTTTGGCCTTCAATTTTATTTCCACCACTCGCTGTACCAAGTCTATCAGTGTACGTCAGCCTGGTTGCAGGGCATCACGTTTTATGGTCAGTATGCCAGCACCAGAGGTGTTGTTTTCTGGAAATTATTGTCCAATGAAGTCCAAGTTGTCTAGAAGTTCTTCTTTAAGTCCTATACATAGCCTTAGAAAGTACCAACTGTCCGCCCACGAAGTTTCCAAAAAATCAGGTTGTCCAAAAATTTCAAGTGCTGAAACAACAACAGCCAAGTGCTACCATCAACAACCAAGAGCCCCAATCACTACTCGCCTAGCTGCATCCACTCATGCAGATCGAATGGAAAAAAGAAGTGATGGCTGAGTGATGTGCATCTGCAATAAAAACTAAGATGCATAGCAATTTACGACACGCCAGAATGACATCGGCTGTTTTTTTAAAACATCCAAAGATTTTTACCCCTGCCCGGCCTATTTCCAAACTTAGCTTTATAAGTTTCTGGAGTTCCAAAAATATTGACACCAATCGGCACCTCTAGTCCCCACCCAGGCTAGAAAACCAAACAGAGCTGCGGTCAGGCGTGTGACCTTTGGTTGAAGCCGATCATGCTTGATATGTCCGGTCCACACGGGCGGCACAGCTGCTTCCTCACGAAAGCGCAAACCAATGCGCCGCATTGTGTATAATTTAATCGCAAATCTTAAACATTACATGTCTGCCAATTACGTAAGGCACGTTTACTCTAACGGGGAAGTCAGATAAACCAGATAACAAGACGTAAAACAAGTCATGAGAACAGCGAATGGCGCGTCTGTTCGGAGCGAGCGGGGTCATGGGCATTAAAGCCCCCCGAACATGGCCAAGGCTGCTTTAAACAGACCGCGGTGCTCTGGCGTGCATTGCCGCTTGACGGCATCAACCACGGGGGTCCCTGTGATACACAGCTTTTAACTTTACAGGCCAGATGGAGCGATCCCCGTCCCACACGACAGCCATACATTGGTCTCGAGTGTCCAACACTCACCACAGAGACGACAACGGACATTAAATGGCCTGCCTCTTACAGTCGACATGTGTGGCGATCACACTCACTGATGCGCGTTAAAAAGTTTGACTACAGCACCTCGCAAGGCTCACAAGATCTGCACTGTCGTGACCTTGACATTGATATCCTAGCGCCACTGTTAAACCATTGACACATTTCGGTCATTTTGGTGCATAACATAACTCTTCCGTTGGTCAATGTGATGAATCCTTTGGTTGTGACCACACATGGGCTGCATCTGGAATGGCATCGTCATAGTTCATGAGAACTGCTGAGATTCATTATATATCTGCTAACTACCTATTTGGTGCCGCAACGTACGCTTAAAATTCCTCAGCGAGGCCAAATGGAGTGCAGAATGCGGCGGTTGCACCAAGGAGCGCCGATTCTATCACTTCATCGCCGCATGGGCCTACGGGAACGAAATGACTGGGGTCTCCGAGATCTGCGTTGGAGCCTGCTAGAAATTGCTGCTCAGCTGCAAGCGGGTTTTGGGCTCAGCTCACTGCAATCGTATTGTGACGCACTGCATTGTGTATGAGATACCCCCCCCCCTCCCCCCCCCCACAAAGGGATATGCATCAGCTTCCGCTATGAAGATGGGTAGACCGGAGGCGTAATGTGCATTTGAACCTTGTATTATATAGTCATATCAGTTACCATGCTGGAAATAGCCGCCTTGCAGCGCACAAAGAGGTACGGGATTGCCAAGGACATTACAGTGGGATATGTTGTAAACATGCTCGCCTATGAACATTCCCATAATACGTGCAAATTTTAACAAATTACACTATCACCTCTATATGTCATAAGCATGCTCATGTATAAATATTCCCATTTTATGTGCAAGTTTTTACTTGATATGTTCGCTTAACTAGTGCCTCGTGGTATGCTGAAGGTCCTTTAACTTCGGCAAAGACCTCATGATGCAAAAAGATAAAAAAACTTAAGGTTCTTTTTTTTGCTTACATCTAGTAGCTTATACCTTCCATTTAAGCTCCCTTTCGATGAGTGCTGCAACTAGAAAAGGTCTTACGGAACGTAACGTAACGTGATGTAAAGACTGCTTTACTACTTTTTGTGATATGCAGACAAATATGTATATCGTAAACAAATTATTCGGAGCTACTATACCACGCAAAATAGCCGACAGGCTTAAGCTCGTGGGTAGCGTTAATTCAAGTCTGAGGCGGTCGATGGCCGGCTATGGGATGCACTTCCAAAGCTCCAGAACTGCGCGGTTCCCAACTCGTGCGAAGCGCTATATTCGGGGGAGCGCGCAGCTGCCGGAGCTCGCGGCATGTCTTCCGCGTGACTGCATGGTCTACGGGCTGCCGATGACGGCATAACTTCGGAGGGGTGGATAAACACTGTCCATGACGCTTGCAAGCGGAGCGTCGACGAGCGGCCCCCGGTCCGTGACGGTCGGGCCGATGCCGCCGCTCATACCCTGGCCGCGCTCACTGGCCGGCGGCCCCCGGTCCGTGACGGTCGGGCCGCTGCCGCCGCTCATACCCTGGCCGCGCTCACTGGCCGACGGCCCCCGGTCCGTGACGGTCGGGCCGCTGACGCCGCTCATACCCTGGCCGCGCTCACTGGCCGACGGCCCCCGGTCCGTGACGGTCGGGCCGCTGCCGCCGCTCATACCCTGGCCGCGCTCACTGGCCGACGGCCCCCCGTCCGTGACGGTCGGGCCGCTGCCGCCGCTCATACCCTGGCCGCGCTCACTGGCCGGCGGCCCCCCGTCCGTGACGGTCGGGCCGCTGACGCCGCTCATACCCTGGCCCCGCTCACTGGCCGACGGCCCCCGGTCCGTGACGGTCGGGCCGCTGCCGCCGCTCATACCCTGGCCGCGCTCACTGGCCGGCGGCCCCCGGTCCGTGACGGTCGGGCCGCTGCCGCCGCTCATACCCTGGCCGCGCTCACTGGCCGGCGGCCCCCGGTCCGTGACGGTCGGGCCGCTGCCGCCGCTCATACCCTGGCCGCGCTCACTGGCCGGCGGCCCCCCGTCCGTGACGGTCGGGCCGCTGCCGCCGCTCATACCCTGGCCGCGCTCACTGGCCGACGGCCCAGCCGCGGTCGGACGCGACGCGCCGCGCGTGCAGGGAAGCATCACGGGCCCCGTGGAGCGCCAGCAGGCCCGTCCAGCGGCCGTGGCTATAGTTAGACGCGACATTGGCTTGGAATCTGACATTGACATCATGCCGTGCCGTCTGGGTGCGCGTTATGTGTTAGCGTGGAGGAGGATAGGATGTAAACGTCGTTTGGCCTTTTTGCAAAGTGTGGCAAGTGGGTCTATTCTATTGAGTGTCCACGTGCACTAACGTCATCGGAACAGAGAATTGGTGAGCTGAATTCTAAATAGTGGGCAGCATTCAGGCTCCTTTACAAACTCCCAATAATTTGGCGTTTGCCTGACGGAAGAGTGACTGGCAACGTTGAAGCGACACCTCTTCACACAGCAAGGCCGTCGATACAAAGATCTGATGCTGCTCAGCAGACTGCTCACCCTTCTCTATCGGCGTGGTCTGTGCGCACCGCCGACTAGCCATTCACACATGTCTTCAAATCGCTTCCAAACAGGAAAACCATCCACCACCCCATCTCATGTATCTTCTTCTGCCCCATGCGGCTGCGTTAGTCTGTGCGTCAGGGATACGATAAGAGTCGTACACCCATGGTACTTACAGATGCTTCACAACACTTAAAATATCTGCAATTCCTGAAAATTCGCATATTTTCAGCTCTGGAAAATGCCGGCGGCTGCTTATATTTTACAGACATTAGCGAGGAAGCAGCCAGAATTTGAGACGGGAGGATATTTTTACCAGCGATTCCTAGCCCGTGGGCGGTACCTATGCACTGCCAGGAGCCTAACAGATCCCACAGACGCTGACAGGTACAGCTCCTGGCGTATCAATATGCCATTGATGTTGGTTTTTCCCTAATGCCTTAAACAGTCGTTTCAGCTGCGTACCGTACATATTCGCTCGACCATCCGCCAGCCTTGGTACTAAAGTAGAGGTGTTGTGCTCTATATCTCTCTGTTCATATCATTCTCTATTGCATTTAAAACCACGCTAGTTTTCCTAATCGTCAAATTCCAAAATTGTATTCAGTGGGTCCGTGGTGAAAAGCTGTGCTCGAACCTGGCGAGGGAAGCGGACAGAACCCCCTAAGCCCCTACTCCCTTTGGTTGCCCCACGGGATAATGGATACTTTCCGCAGCAACAGCGGCCTGAGCACTGAGTACGGTCGGAGCACCGCACGAGAACACAAGCCGTGTAAGCCGTGTGTTCCGCTTAAAGCAACCACCACGCACGGGAGCAAGGACGCTCAAGCTCCATAGATGCAACACATGATTGCAGCGCATCTCTTTGCCAAACATGGAATTCTGCACGTTCGCTGAAGTCAATGAATCTATCACTGACAACGGGTCTCATACAGACCCAGTTAATACCCCTGCAATTACTCTGCGTTTTATTTAAATAGCACGCGCTTATATGTTTCATGGAACATATACAAAAACAAAATTCACGTCAGTTGCTGTCGTCAGCTTTCCGTGTCTACGATTACGGACGCGCGGCGCGGGCGCACACATCTGTGACGTTCACGACCGTTGCATGCTGTGAGCGCGTAACTGCAGCCGGACGGCTCGAGAGCGTGCGCCGTGCTCCTGGACTCACCACCGAGACGGTAGAGGCGGCGGCCTCCGTGTACATGCCCTGCAGCGACAGCGGCATGTGGACGGCGCCCTGGTCCACACAGTCCACGTACAAGTGGACGCGGGCGGACGGCTGCTGCTGCTGCACGTGCAGCACTAGGGAGCGGATGACGCCGCGCCGCCTGATGGTCTGCACGGTCCACCACTGGCGGCGCAGCCGGCCGTGCTCTGTCGTCCGCAGCGTCACTGGGGGTCAGCGCCGCTGGGTCAGTGACCCATCAGGCCCGGCCGGCCGTGCTCTGTCGTCTGCAGCGTCACTGGGAGTCAGCGCCGGCTGGGTCAGTGGCCCATCAGGCCCTGCCGATGCCCACGAGTGTGCGTGCGGCCCTCGTCCACCAAACTCGATGAAAACAATGTCATCGGACAACTTAATGACATTTATTAGAGGGGCTGATGAACGTGCCATGGAAACCAAAGCAACAAATGACTGTCGAGAAAATACAGCACGTCAGGTGGAAATCACACCCTTGCAATGGCGAGGATCAAGCCTATCGTTCTTGCCGCTCACAATGACAAAAGGTCGACACTGTCAGCCAATATTCTAATTGGTCACTTAAATACTTGTGGGGCTTGAAGAAGCTCATTAGAAAACGCAATAAGTTATGGTACTTTCATTGCATGCTTTGTCAGCTTACCTCTTTGCTTCGCCCTGTCCAAAATGAAAGCCATCTTGTGTTGGCTCCCTGTCACCTCCACCTCCAGCAGGACATGAAGCTGGTCTTGCGCCACTCGCCTCGATTTGATGTTGCTGAAGACCAGGAAGAACTCTGGTTGTGCCACAACACGCTGGAACTCCTCAGTCAAAACTGCAACAAGAGTGGTTTCGTTTCAGATAGCTGACCTATACCCACCGACATTCTCTCCTTCGCAGGTCAGCTTCGCAGTCATCATGGCAAGTAGCAGTAGGAACCGGCTCACCAACCAGCGGTAAAGGTCGAATCTCGGAACTGGTTTAACGATCTTGCGCCGTTGCACCATGAGGAGCAATCAGTGCAACCTCTGAACCAGTTCGCCCTTGAGCTCGGCGAGGCGTCGGTCACACGGCTGTGGGTAGGCTGTCCACGCCCCCGGCTGGCGGCGCGGAGGCGTGGTGACCACAGCGCTGCAGGTCGAGAGGGAATCAGCTGACACTCTGCAGACGGAGTCACAGGCTGTGTCCTCTGAACTGTCTGCCGCCAGCCGAGCCCATTGTATCTCCTTGTGGTGCTTAAGATCAGGAGCAATTGGCAGCTAAATAGCGGGAGACGTCGCGGTAATACACACGGGTCAACTGTCTGTCTTGTCTGTGGGACACTGCACGAAGAACTTTATCGAGTTTAACAGCCGCACGGTGAATGAGGGTGAAAACGAGAGCGTGTTACTGGATTACGATACTCAAATTCAAGTTAAAACCATAAACCAAGTAAAGCATCAAACTTTGGGATGGTTTTAATTTCAACTACCCAATGTAGCTTATTTCCCTTCTCACCTTTTTACGGACAGACAGCTTTGCATCCGCCGGTAGAAAATTCACACAGATTTGGGCGAAACTTAATGCAACTCATTGAAGGTTCATTGTATGATTTTGAAGCGCAGAGTTAAAGGCTGTTTGATCAGGCTTTATTTTCCTGCTAGATTGCCTAAGGTCACTAACAAAAAATAGCAAACCATGGCAGAATGACGCAACACGTTGAGACGCCGGGCCAAGGGTATGAACCCGTGATCCCGGAACACGCGTCAAATCATCTAGACTGAGAAAGGGCGGACAATCTTGCTGACACGAATGTGCGTCACTGTGTGCAGCCAGTCACCCCAAAAGACAGCACTCGGGTGCAAGCCGTGGATCCGCCCAGTTCTGAGTTCGTTTTGCGGCGGGGGAGGGGACGAAGCTGTCCTCTTCAGGGATTAACATCGGATCTCGGCAAGCGGGGTGAATAAGGACTTGAAACCGACTCCGCAGTAAAGGTGAATGCGCCATCCACAGATCGTCATACCGATTGGACACTGCCCGGCCCATATGTGCGATAGTACACAGTCGACGGAGAAGCGACCGATGTGGTTCCAAAACGGCCAGGAACACCGAGAAAGCTGGTACCTAAAAACCAGGCAGATAGAATTGCGTAAAGAGGCGCTTGCGTTGGCAGTGACGCGAAAGCGTGGGAGTTATTTCTCTCAGATGTTGAATTTATGAACAACATCGCCGTCAGTAAAGTCACCACTGAGTTAAGCAAAGTGTAGGGGCGAGCAATTAAAGTTCAAGTTGCATCAGACCGACTACCGCTGCCAAGGCGTCGGCCGCGTAGCGGAGCCAGACGCAGGCTGTGGCTGACGCAGAGGCGGAGCCAGGCCCAGGCTGTGACTGATGCAGAGGCGTAGCCAGGCCTCGGCTGTCGCTGACGAAGAGGCGGAGCCAGGCCTAGGCTGGGGCTGACGCAGAGACGGGGCTGCGAACAGCTTAAAAAAGGCCAAATAAGGCAAGCCTCTCGTTGAACGGAAAATATAGGCTAACAGCCGTTGGTTGTCTGTGTTCTCTCGCTGGTGACCACCACAACGTCGAATAACCCAGCGCAGAAAGTAACCGAGCAACGCTCACACAACTGGATACGTGTACTCACCAAAACACATGTAGAACCTGGTATGCATAAGGTTAACATTGATACAGATAATTCCAGATTTTTCGTGAGTGAAGATGTTCGACACGTTGTCCTTTCAGCGCTGGCCATACTTGTTCGCGTCTGTCACGCATCGATCTGAACAAGTTCCTTGGATCGGCAGTGTCATGGCCGTACTGAATCACGCTGTTTAAGGCGACTGTTCATGGCGAATTTAAACTGATTGATGGAGGGGGTATGACTTATCAGTGAAGAAGTTAAGCTGATTGAACCAATGATGACGTCAGCGGCCTGCTGAACCGCAGTGGTCCATACCCGGTCGCTCTCAAAGAGCTGGAAGAACAGTTTGGAAAGCTTAGCTTTGTCGTAGAGGCAAACACGGACACGCATATACCTACACCTAAAACACTCCCACCCAAAGAAGGGCCCTCTTTGTCCTGTCTCTTTTGGCGAGGCTACATCGCCGATCTGGCTGCTTCAACAGATGTGTCGTATGTCGCTGACAAGCTGCCACCGCATCTCGCCTGACGCTGGAAAGCGCAAGCACGCGCTCTGGAGTCACGGCAGCCTACACTGGCCGATCATGGCGGCTGGCTGCGGCACTGCTGACTGCTGGACGCCAGCATAGAGTTAGAGTCACAGCTTGACTCCGCGGCATGGAGTCAAGCGGCGGAGGTATGCGGTCACCAGGGGATGGCGGGCGGCAGCGTGCAGTGCCCTCTTACGGTGGCGTTATCGATGCTGATGTGAAACGACGCCAAGGAAAACTGCCGACTGCGACTGGATTTCTTATTGGAAATGACACCGCTTAAAATCCGTCAGGATTTCCCCACCTTAAGACATGAGCAGCATGCGCAAGCTGTTTCCTGATTTTGCCACGCTTCCTTTGCCTAACCCTCACTATGCGAGAAGTTTTCATTTAAAAAAACCTTTTCCGTCCATTCGGCCCTCAGGTTTCTCGGAGTATCTTTGGGATGGGTTGAGGACGGCGTTGAAATTTCAGACGTGTGAGCTTGCATCATGATACACATCTTGCAAAGTTCGGTTTTCGACGTTTACTGTTTCACGATCTGCAATCTTTTTCTCGTAGTCACATCACTGACATTCTGCCAAAAAGTGTAAATAAGGTTCATTTGACACAAGAAATGTATTCTGAAGTGGAATCCTTGACACGTCTTTGTATCAGTTTCACTCAGTGTTTATTATTACTCTTTATTTCACTTATATCTATATCACAAGTGCATACATGTCATAATAATGGCTTTAACCGGGTCAGGTCATCCGAGGTAAAGTTAGATCAAACCTTTACAGAACTTTTACTTCACTGAATCAGTAAGAGGTAGCCAACGCCGCCTTCCACAATATTGTATCATGCGCAGTTCTTGAGATACATGAGTGCGTACATTGCTCATCTAACACTTGGACCTGATTTGATATACGTGAGGTCGCATTCACCATTGTTCAGACGCATCAGTCTTATGCAGCGTGACGAGTGCTTTCCAATTTCAATCTCTATATTGGTCTAGCTCGCTTCGTTCTCGTGATCGTGGGAGACCTTCGAGACCCCGCTCGCAGGACGAGGATAAACAAAGAAAAAAAGAAACGTTATTTCTCAGAAAACGATTCAGGGTCTGCTTCAAAGACTACCGGGTAATGTCAGCGGCCGGCTGGAAGCCGTGGGCGAACCGTCATGCTGGACATGGGAAGCCGTATGGCCCTAGTGACAGTACTGTGGCTGCCTGCGGCCACCCGACGGCCGCCCCAGCCGCAGAGGTGGGACTGGAGGGACCTCTGCAGGAGCTGCACCTGTCCACGGTTCATCGCATTCAGACTAAACCGTGTGTGTGTTTGAAGAGTGTGTGTGTGTGTGTGTGTGTGTGTGTGTGTGTGTGTGTGTGTGTGTATGTGTATGTGTGTGTGTGTGTGTGTGTGCGTGTGTGTGTGTGTGTGTGTGTGTGTGTGTGTGTGTGTGTGTGTGTGTGTGTGTGTGTGTGTGTGTGTGTGTGTGTGTGTGTGTGTGTGTGTGTGTGTGTGTGTGTGTGTGTGTGTGTGTTTGTTTGTGTGCGTGTGTGTGTGTGTCACTCAAACACCACGACTGGGCGTCTTCGGTCATGCAGTCAACTGGCCGGAACAACAAAAAGATATGGCAAAATCTAGCAAGCTTTAACCTGGCCGAGGCCGTGGCTGCAAAACTCGACGCCTTTTTGTTGAGCACAGACTCTTTCGGGCTGATGTTGCCGCGGGAAGCGCGTAAACGTCCGCAGTGCTCAAGTTCGTGCGGAGCTCTATGCAATTGACCTGTACACCAAGTTTGGCTCGAAGTAGACCAAAATGCCTACCGACGAGTTTCAGATAGAAACACTTCAAACGGAGTTTTTGTCACAGTGAAATCAACACACTGCTTGCCCATCTTTCCTTTTTTCTAGTGCGCGTCTTTTAAACAGATGTGATAAAGATCGTACGTATGCGTGCGCCGGGCCAATCTCCAGCATTCCAAGTTGAGTTTTGTGTCTGAAGTTCTAAATCCGGGCATCACTGGCCGTTTCCGTGTCACGTTAAGCTTCCGCCGCGATATCACCGACCGCTCGTTCGGAGCGGCGCCTGGCTGACGTCGGTGGAGCGGGCTGCGACAGAGGCCGGCGATGGCGGCTCACCTTTGCTGTAGACGGGCTGGACGGCGCCGCTCGGCTGCCCGGCCCCGGCCAGCAGCAGGCTCAGCAGCACCAGTCGAGCCGCCATGCCGCCACGCTCGCCGGCCCGCGCTGCCCTCCCAGTGAACGCCGAGGCCGCACTGAGCTGTGCCCACTGAGGCACGCGCCGCGCTCTGGCGACGGCGGAGGCGGAGGCGGAGGCGGAGGCGGCGGCGGCGGCCGACGAGCGACACCCGCAGCGGGCGGCGCGGCTGCTGCGGCCGGCGGCGTGCGCTGAGCCATTGTGTTTAGAGACGGTATCCGAGCTGTACACGGTCGCAGACACCATGCCGAATGATGCTGATCCGAGCTGGGGCTGGGGATGATGCGAGCTGAGCTGGGGGATGCTGATGGCTTGGCGACTTATTGCACGGAAGGTTGAAAATAATTTCACGATGTTTTGCAACATTCTGTTTGGTTATGCATGCTACATGTTGTTGTGCCGATTTCCATAAACAGCTCACGTCAGTTCAAGGAATCTGAGTTGTGAGGATCAGTCGCTTCGAAGTCTGGAACTAACATCGACACTACATGTTCCTATTACATGGTACTACATATGGTAGGAGGTACTAGGTACTTTTAAGATTTTTTGTTCTAAGGTAAGGCAATGCATAGGTACTGCATGTTCTAAGGTGCTGCATGTTCTTTCACTCACCTTCTCCCAAAACATTTCCAACAGTTTAAACATGTATGCCTTTAGCCCTCGTACAAAACGTATGGCGCCTGCGTGAGCAACCCTAGCAGGCAGGGTCTTGTTTATACAGATACTGAGGCCATGTCGAAGGTTGTTCGCATAAACGATTATGTCAAGAAGTGATAGTACGTTTACTGTGTCGACGTTGAGGGACCGATCACAGGACCGTCTGTAGTGACAGCGGCATGGAGCTGTGCAGGGCGATCCTCGTATTTGACACGTGCGCCAGTGGCACGCGCCTCGCATCGCTTATTTCCAGGCGACTATGGTTATCACCCGGGCTATACAAAATACTAAGCCCGCGGTGAAATCGTGACTCGGACACCGCTAGCCCATCGCATACGATGTGCCCAGACTTCAAGAGAAGCATGTATTGCTAGTTTTACGATAACCTGTGCCCCAAAACACGTGGTATCAACACAACACATGCCAGAACACCATGCGCTCACCCAAAGCGGCCGTGCAACTGCGGTTGCGGGCGGGGCTTCCCATGGTACGTGCTGTGCTGGTGGGCAACAGGTACGCACGTAACTGGTGCACGGATGTGACTCAAATTGCCATACGTTTGGCATCAAGCTGACACAAACGTGTTGGCCTCACGCATGTTCACATTGCGTCCATTCTGCGCGTCTGGTTGCCGCTGGGATTGACTACGGCGTGCACATATCGGCGCAGGAGCGTGCCGGAGAGCACGCATTACAATGTAGGTATGTCACTGCTCCCAAATGATGTGCGTTCATTCTGGCCTCCTCCTTAGAGATATCGGAACGACCGGAACACAGATGCCACCTTCAACTAAAGGCAACAGGCAGCATGCACGTTTGTGTTTTCAATCGCCAGCGGTATCAAGAACATCCGTTTAAATAAAAAAATGAAACAACAACCTATTCATCGAAATAATCGATCACGAACATATTTTAGTAATGAGGAGGCCCAACAAAACCACGCAGGACATTTAATATGCTCACCTTGATATCGACACTGATATTTTACAGGCCCGCTTACCACGTGAACACTGGTAGGCCGAAACACAACGTCATCGCTTTCGGCGAAAAACACTTTTGACCCATTAATTATGCATACTGGCGAGCATTCACCGCCTGAGCCGAACACATTTTCTGGAACGAGACACATGATCACTCCCAGCTGATTTCCGCCGCAGCATACTGGCACCAGTCAAATACCGGAGCATTAATTAGCAGCTGCGGAGGCCGCATGCCCTGGTCGATGCTGAGCGCGGTCTGCTTCGTCGCCCCATTGCGATCAGTCAGTACTTCCGTGAGACTGGTCACTTCCTCCATGATGCCGAATATCTTGACTTGCGCCAGCAGCGACGTGTAGCCGTTCTGGCGGTACGAGTCGCAGAACGGCTCGTCCAGCTCGGAAACGATTGTGACGCTCGTGTTAGACACTGTTAGTTCCACCTTCTGCGGCGAGATGGCGTCATCGCCGGCAGGCAAGTACAGCGATCCAAATGCCGTGTAGTTTCCTTCACATGATAGGGCGATGGTGGCTGAATATGTTCCGTTCTTACGTTGGTCTTCTATAGTTGTGAAGGGTCTCTGAAAATATATTTATGGTAAGCGTTGTGTGATTGCGCTGCATTGTAACAGGCTGAAAAAACCCATTTCTACACCACATTTCTTCTAAATTATGTCGCCCTGAGGCTATAGTCAGATTTCGCTCACCTACGCTGCGCTGCCGATTCAAGGCATATGCTGCCATCAGGGAAAAAATACCTGAACTTCTATTACGTCATGCGAAACATGGAAATAGCCAAGCATGCAACCAGTTTGAATCAAACCAGTAGCCATTCCTCGGCGGCGTCACAGGTCGGTGATGCATTCATCAGTCAGCACATAACTCATTCATGTAGGAGATAATACTCACACAAACAAAATTGTGATGGGATGTTTGGGACCCAGTGGTCACCTCAGTCGTGTTCAGCCCCCAAAGCTCGGGCGTCCTTACCACTGCCTTTGCCCCTGTTCGCCGTCCGGGAGACCCGGTTACCTGATTGAAAATGACGGAGGCAGCGCGCTGGTAGATAAGCGTTTGCTGGGCAGGTACGGGTAGTGTCACCCAGCCAGGCCCTGCCTCTGCCTTGGGCCGATATCCTTGGAAGTACTCGTACCAGCACGAGCCGGGCAGGTACAGGCGCACCTTCCGCTGGTTCTCGACCAGCGCCGGCGCCACCATCAGCGCCGGACCCAGCAGCAGCTGCTGGTCGATGCTCCAGGTGGCGTTGTCCTCGGCGAACTCGTACCAGAGCGGCCGGAGCGGTGGCACGCCGCTACGCGCCGCCTCCACCAGCAGCGAGTAGTGGTACGGCACGAACACGTACCGCTGGCTGATGTGCACCAGCGCCTGGTTCAGGAAGGCGTCACTCAGCTGCGGCGGGTTGCGCGCGAAGTGGCCCGCCTCGTAGAAGCTGACGGCCAGCGGCAGGTAGGGCGCCAGCTGGTACCAGAGCAGACAGAGCGCCTCCAGCCGGTCGGCGTCGTCCGCCGGCACGCGGGTCGAGTTCCGGGTACCGCACACCGGGTAGCCGGCCTGCGGCACACCGTACAGGCCCAGCTCCAGCGTCTGGACCAGCGCCAGCTGCAGGCTGGTCCAGTCGGCACTCAGGCCAGCCGCCAAGTGGGCGCCGGCGGCGCCGCTGCCCGGCGCCGTGGACGCGCTGGTCAGCAGGTGGTCGGGTCGGGCGTCGGCCGCCGCCGCGCGCGCCGCACTCGCGTGCTCCAACCCGTAGCGGTTGTGCTGGCCCAGGTGCGCCTGCCCGGAAGAGTGTCTGGCCGACATGCAGACGGTGTCGTTCGAGAGCGTGTGACTCTCGCCAACGTTCGGCACGAACGGCAGCTTATCTCCGGGACAGTCGTCAGCTGCGTCGTTCGCCGGCGAGTTGCGCATCAGGTAGAAGCCGTCGATTTCGTAGTCGGCGATCAGCTGGCTGTAGAGTGGCTTTAGCCAGGCGGCCGTCGCACTATTCGAGTAGTCGACGTAGGAGACGTTCCACGTGCGGTTGCCGACCACTTCGTGCAGCTCGCCAAAGAAGTTTCCTGTGTCGTTCTCGTTGCGCACCAGGATCCCGGCGCCGTCGGCCTGCTCGTACGGCTCGTACGGGTCGGGCGCGTCCTCGCCAAGCGGCTGCCGGTGCAGCGGCAGCTGGGGCACGGCGTACGCCATCAGGTGGCGCCCCTGCGCCCGCAGCAGGCTGCCGCCGTCCCTGAACTCCGCCGCCAGCTCCGGGGCCGCCTCGAAGCCCAGCGGCACCAGTGCGTCGGCGTCGACGCAGTCCGACTCAAACGGAATGCTGTGGTTGACCATCGTCTCGACCACGGCCTGGAAGCTGACGGCGTCGCCCTGGCGGCACATGTGGAAGCCGAGCGACCAGAGCGGCGGCAGGCGCGGCCGCCCCACCAGCCTCGTGTACTGCTCGCTGACGGCGGCCGCCGTCGGTCCGGCGAACACGTGCAGGCGCACGCGGCCCTCCAGCAGGCGCAGCGTGATGGACGGCCCCGGCAGCAGCTGCACCTCCAGCGGCGCCGTCGTCTCCAGGTAGACGCCGTGCACGGCGCCGTCAGGCTCGATGCACATGTAGAACGGGTGGAACCCCTCGGTGAAGGCGACTGGCCGCGCGAACAGCGCCGAGCCGACCGAACTGTTGAAGGCGCGTCGCAGGTTCGGGTGGAACGCCTGGCCGAGCCCGTACACCGCCGACGAGGCGGGCACCAGCGTCAGCTCGGTGAACAGCGGGCTGACGATCGTCGCTCCGAGGCGCGTGTCCACGAGCGGCTGGCCGGTGCTGTTCCGCGTCACCACAAAGTAGAAGTCCCAATCGTCACCGACGTTGGAGCGGATCGACAGCGGCCCGTCGACGACGACGGGCTTGGGCTCGTCGCCGACGGCGGCCGGGCCCAGATCGAGCACGGCGTGGTCGGCTGACGGGCAGGAGGCGCGCGCCCTCAGTCGGGGCGTCTCGGCCGTGCCGTAGGGGGTGTGGGCGACCCGGCCGGCCGCGTGGTCGGCGAACGAGTAGGCGGTGAGCTCCGCCTCCAGTGCCGAGCTGTTCACTGTTGACGTGTTCAGTTTGAAGGTGTAGGAGGCCGGTAAGGAGTGGAAGCAGGTGGCCGAGTTGCCGGCAGAGCTGGTGTCGTTGTACCAGCAGCAGCCGGCGTTGGCACACCGCCTGTCGGTCACGTTCTGCTCGCCCACCAGACACGGGAACCTGGAGCGGCGCCCGCCGACACGTTTGGCAGACGTGGTGGACAGTTCGCGACCCTCAATCCGGTAACGTCAGTCCATGTAACATTAGGTACAGTCAAATGCACCCTTACGGAAATGAACGCAGTCATGGTCAACGCCTTAAAAAATACTGAATCTGGTTATGGCCTACAATTAAGCAGTGTCGAACCTAATTCGTCCATGTTCCCCTGAGGCATTAGATTTAACAGCTTATGCAGCTTTAACAGATTTAACAGCTTTAACAGTTTATGTTGCCTGACAGCAATGGATCTGACCATGGCCTGCACCTCACAGCATTGGACCCGGTCAAGTGTAACAGCTCACAACGTTGGAGCGGTCAATGCTCTCAACCATAATGTGCTCGATTAAGGACTGTCCGTGATAGTACACCTTAACCCTCGCCCCGATAGGAGAGGGGGTCAATGGGACCTCGCCCCTAACGATTTTCGAGAACATTTCTCCGGAATTTTCCCCAATCAAATGCCCAAAATGTTGGGAGCGTATAGGACATTTATTACGCGTGTTTTGACACCAAAACCCGTTGCTACCTTTTCTGGTTTCGGAACAGCGGCGGACTTTGACCTAATAAGATAAAATCTATTGGCCTAACACCATAAAATCTAGTACAAATTGCGCTATTTCGATGATAAAGTCCACCGTCGTTCTCCGCTAAGCTCTATCTTCATCTTTATCTATATATTTAGTATGAAAACGCAAGGGGTCGCATCGTTCCTCCTCACCATAATTCCGCGATATCAAAACGGCGAATCAGGGTGAGGGTCAAACAATTTTGTCACGGCATAGATATCTGCGGGCATAACATAACATCACACCTGCATGCATCAAACAGCTCATCAGTTCACGTCGCTGCAGATGTGCAGCTGGCCAGTTCATGTGTATTTATTGTTTACCATGTGGGAACCTGGAGAACAGGGCGCCACTTGGGTGCAATACGGGGCAATGCGTGACGATTTACATCCCTGCCAACAAGCTGTGCACATTTGCTACCTGTGAGGCAATTCAGTAGTCTGTGTGTTTCCACAGCCTTAACGGAACAGGGCGGGTATAAGACCGCATTTTTGTGCTACTGAGGCTTATGGCAGTCGCCGTTTTCGCTGCCTTTTCACCCTGTGAGGCGGCGATCCTCGGGCAGCCCTGCACAGCTGCACACACTCGAATCTATTGAGCCGGCCCAGTCACATCGACACCTTTCCGCAGCACCGCGCTTGTGACGCGAGAGCACGCGGCCGTCTCGCTCACCTGTAGCTCGGCGCGATCATGCAGCTGCCGCGGGTGTAGATGGGCATCTCCACGTCCAGGGGGTAGTAGTGGAGAAACCACAGGGGCACAAGCAGGCCGAGGCCAAGACACACCAGAGCCAGGTACAGGAACCCGGCCGTCCGGCTGGTCAGCACTTCCAGTATCTTTGCTGTTCGATAAACAGGTGTCACACGCTGGACATCGTGTGGTATGTCTGTGTTTATGATGCACTCCATTCTGATCCGGAGGCGGCTTCAGTTGAGTTACACACGGCACTCGGCGCACAGCCGCCGTCCGGCAAGGCAGGCACCATCTTCACTGGACGGGCACACAAATCACGAAATTATGAGAACAAATAATTTTTAAGCTTTTTCTCCCATGACGAAGAGATGAAGTTATAAATATGAATCCCTTGGTTACCGTTGACATGTCTTCCCATAAAACTCCACCCCTAATTCCCTACCTCCATTTCTCCTACCTGCTTGCCTGCGTTATCCCCCTTCCACCTGTCCGTATATCTTACATATCTGCCCATGATATGCTATTGAGTGCGGACCTACTTACCAAGCAACGTCGTGGACCAATTCCTCCGTCGTCTAACACTCTCCCACACAAAGCTATGCGGCATTCACAATCTGCTTCAACCAGCCCCGTAATAAAGCTGCACGGTATTCCCAGATGGCATCCCACCGATCTGTCCGCTTACTGAACATGGTCTCCTGGAGTTCGTCGTCGTCGTCCACCAGTCCTTTCCTGTCATCCTCGAAGTCAGACTCCCGCCGCATTCCATCTTCGGCCATTGCTCTGGCAGGTCACCGGCAGCCTCCTGGACCGCTGGCGGGCCGACCCCTGCCCGCTGACCTCTCACCCTGTGACCTCTGACCGCTGACCTCTCACCCTGTCCCGTGGGCGTTACCGGCTCAGAGCTCGACACGTCTGAGCAGGGCGCCAGCAGGACACTGTCTGTCTTTGTCGGCGGTAGCCCCGACCCAGTCCGCGATAACGGCCGACCCGGTGTCGTTATCGACGCCGCGCCGACGTCATGATCAGATACACGGTGATCCGCCTGCCGCAGATAGCGCGCGAACGCGGGCCGACAGCCAGCCGCTGCGCCGCTGTAGCGCTCGTCTACGGGACTGTCAAGCCAACTAACTTTCTTTTCGCGCATGGGTTTAACTGCATCTGTACTTAAATATTTTTGAAGGGAGTGCCCCCACTAAATGCACAGATGATCGCATATATATTTTACTGAGCATATTTTATTTTTTCCTCGCTTTGTACAGGAGAAACTCCGGTTTTACAGCCCTTGTCACACTGCTTTTGGCGTTGGTCTTTGAAACTTCCGGGTTTGATTCTGACTTAAATGCTGCGACGAAAAAAAGCTTATCTCTTCACAAGCAGCTGGCGAAATACGGACTCATGACAATTTTAGTGAACCATAGGCATGTATTAAACTTGACAAATTTGACCAGCCTGTGCCCGGGCCGTATTTCGACATAGAACTGTGCAGACCTATGTCTCCCCAGGAGATGTCTCCCCCTATGCCGCAAAATGCCTACCCACTAGTAAAGCCTTGCCTCCCCAGGAGAGGTGCCACATCACGTGGTAGATCAATACAGTTACAGAACGTTTGATGCACATGACTCAATGCTGGTCTGATTCCGAGGCGGCATTGCTGGTGAGTGGGACATGCCTATACCAACGGCTGACAACAGTGATTTCAAGAGCTTATGTCTTGCTGCGAGGCCATTGTCCATGCAGTCGGTACAAAAGGTTGCAACTCAATAATGCTATGGGCGGTTACTATTTGTAAAGCTACCCAAAACCTACCTAAACGTCGTGATCCGGTTCCCTGAGCGGCGCTGGAACCAGAATTGTTCCTAAACACTTCAAACTGGGTCGTCCATATGTCGAGAACGTCGTCGCGACCGTAATCCGAAACAATCAATCAATCCCGCCAAGAGCGGTTCGTTACGCGGATTGACCTATGGACCATCGACATTGGGGAGTAGCCGTAATAAGAAACAGCACAGCGATCCCCAATTAAAGAACTATGTCACATCATGATAAGGGTCCTGATAGCAATGATAAGGGTCCTAATATCTGATAGCAAAGCCCTGGCGAGCGATTTTTTGTGGACGCATTCATCCCTGCAAAAGCTCTTTCTCCAACGCTAGCACAGCCGAGTTTGTCATGAAGAAGTGCACGGATGTGTTACGTGGCCCTTCTGGTCGTGATACGGCCGCTGACTGTAAACGTTCTGGTCTTTCTCCGTGCATGCGACACTCAGGCTTGAAGTGACCAGACGGGTTCACCGGCCTTAAACGCGCTGCGCCGGCCGCTCGAGCAGAGGCCCACGTCCCAACCACCGGGACTTTTGGCATGACCGGCAAATGAAACTTTGGCTCGAATGAAACTCCCAAAACGAGCTCTTGATTTTAATGTTGATGTTATTCATGATGCATTGCATTTTATTTATCCCTGGTGTGTATGGTTTGCCGCCTTTGAAATTATTACGACTGCAGATATATTTATTTGACTTCAGGTGAAAACTCAGGCTGTTCCAAGTTTCGTCGGTGACAGAAAATGTTTTTTGTTCAACTCCGTTTTTGCCTTCCATCACTTAACCAACTTTGTATCCAAGTGACTAAGTATTCAGTCCATGACGTGGTTGGCGGATGACCATTCAGTTAGGGTCACTTCAAGAACCTTTGCTAAAGTGAATATTCACAATATTCTTACGGGCATCGTCTCCGTGAGATCGAGGATCATCTCCAAGCATTCTCATTCTTATCTTCAGCGGTCCCAATCATGGCGTGACCATTGTCATGGTACTGTTCCACATGCGGTAAACGCTGAGATCATAGTCAGCATGCTGGCCATTTTCAGACAAGGTGTCCATGTTACGATGCGCGCATTTCAGCATTAGACACTTCCAGGGGATTTTCCGTACGAGTTGCGGTGAAATGACTTATGTCTATGCACGCAGCATACACTTTATTCGACATTTACATTATTTTAAGCTGACTCTGGGTGCGGCACGTCACAAAAATTATTCGAAGCACTTTAATCGAGGGATTTTGTTTCGTCAGAGCCCACGCCAAGCAATGCTCGTTGCGTGAGCTCTTACCCACACCATCGATCGTAAATTCCCGCTCAATGGCGGAATGTTGCGGTGAAAGTTTAAGATGAAACAGCGTTCGGTATGGTCCGTCCTGCCCTTTGACGTCACCTGACATTTCAACGCAGCCGCTGTCACCGGTCGCAGGCCATTCCAGTTAAGGCAAAAAGCGAGCGTCTACAGACTTGAGCCTATTATACCATCGTAAGGTGAATCAGAATGCTTCTTCAATGGGGCACGTAACCAACTGACCTACTGGGACAGACGGGCACAGTTATTTGTTCGATAGCTGCAAAATGATGAAAAATTCCCGACAAAAACATATTTGGCCTGTTAGCATTGTCATTATTGCGGAACCTCCATGAGTTTATGAAGCCAAATGTTATGTGAAAGGTAAGCTTGTGCCTTACGCATTCCTAAAATTCCTGCCCAGCCTCTAGCGGTGACCGTTAACACATGGTGTCTGTCTGGCACCGTCGCAGTTCTCAACCGTTCACTGCAGTGCGCCTGTAGTTTCTTTCATCCCGCGTCCCGTGTCACCGCACAAACGGTTGAGCGGAGTGCCTCGACGGCACCGCCGGCACTGGTAATAGGCTAGTAACAGTGCATTATGTTTCTTGTTCCTTGTATAGACGATAGAATATCTGAGACGCCCTGTCAGAAAGCCTCATAAAATTTCTACAAGCATCCAATTTTGAGCAAAGCTGGGGAGATTAATTTCAAATGCAGTGCATGCATGGATTCACCCATGGCTTAGCTTTGGATGTTACGACCCATGACCGTTATGTGTTCCGACGATTCCAACAAATATCACTAGAATGAAGATCACTACTGCGGTAAAGGTTCGATAGAAGTAGACACACCGCAAGTACATATCCGTGTTAAAAGGGCTCTCTGGCGGCGCAGCAGTCCGTGGTGGTCGTGAGCACCCGGTTACATCCGAATTACAGGAGCCCGCCGCTGCCGGCGGAGTACACCGCCAGTGGAGGGACCCGACGCTCTCCCGATGTTGCACACCTTCGAGGCCGCCGCTGCCGGCGGAGTACACCGCCAGTGGAGGGACCCGACGCTCTCCCGATGTTGCACACTGTCGAGGCCGCCGCTGCCGGCGGAGTACACCACCAGTGGAGGGACCCGACGCTCTCCCGATGTTGCGGCCGCCGGTCGCCTGCCGACAAAACCCCCCAGCACATTTCAAGTTGCAGGGATAATGGTTTTATTCGTGTCCTTGCAATACATCGCGATACTTGATCTGATACCAGACCGTGATTTTCCAGTTGGCTCGAGAACGGGAAACATCCATTGTAAGCCGATGAACATGTTGAGTTGCCACATCCGGAGCCTGTTACCGACGGGAACATTGGGAGAGACAACATTATCCAGCTAAGTCAAGCCTGTTGTGTGAAAACTGCAATTGCTACTCGTTGGACAGGGAGGGATGCTTTTATTCAGTGCTCTCCGGTCCCTGGAGGTCAACATTTCTTCCAGCGCCGCGTACGAACCGTTTTCGTTTTAATCTTTATCGCGATGTGATCAGCATGCTCACTATCGTCAGTGCACGGGCTGCACCACTGCACTGACGACTGATGACGCATCCGCGTGCTGACGGTCAGTGGGCACAAGTGACGGATCAGGCGGGGGCTGCAGGTCTGCAGCCTCGGCCCGCAAAGCGTCCCGTCCGGAGACCGCTCGTAACTCGGACAGAGAATGTGAAGTTCGCTGTGGCAACGATGGGGGCCTGGGCATGTCTGCTCTAGCACCGGAGGCCAGTAGGCCGGCAGATGAGGCAGACGGGCCAAGGCCGTGTGCAGTGCGGCTAGAGCAGAGGGCCACGGCTGCGGCAGCCCCGCGGTAGTTTGGTTTAAGATGGGGCTCAAGCGTTTTGACTGAATGGATTTCGGGAACCGGATCCATGCTCAGCAATGCTTGTTCCTTGGGCCCTGATCCCACCATCCATTCGTGAAATCCAACTCAGCGACAGATTTTGCGGCAGAGCACGGCGTGCCGTCATGGGCATAACGGTCCTCTCTGAGCTCTGACGTCACATGACCTTTAGTGCGGCCGCCGTTGCCGACCACAGGCCACCCCAGTCAGGGGCAAATACTGACCACTTAGAAAGCGGTTTCATATCCGCCTTTCCGTTGCTACTCGCCGCTTCAGCCTGGATCCCTGCAGCGTCCCCAATTATCCGAGACGAGCTACATGCATGAGCCATGAATGGGCTTAGATGCCGCCCGTGGAGGGAGCCCCGTCCGCGCGCCCGCGTCCGCCCCAAGAAGGGTTCCTGTGCAAGATAAGTGTCGTTGTGGAGGGCTCCCAGACTCATGCAGTCTTGCCCCACCATTCTCCTCTTTCCTTCATCCTATAGCCCGTATGGTCACCTCTGGCCAAAAGGGCTCTAATCAAGACCAGATCAAAGCGACTCGAGCCCACCGTACCACGGGTGAGGTCGAATAAGCGCACGACGGACAGAGACCATTGCTGCAAACAAATGTCATCGACACATCATGACTCTTCCATAACTTGCCGCAATGCGTCAACAGAAATATGATCATCCTGTTTTTGATTTTCAGATCGATTTTCCTACGACTGATGCCCTAGTTATTGTGTTAACGTGTAAGTTTCAATTGATTGAGAAAATACAGCCGCTGGCGATTCTCCGCCTTACAACACCGCCTCCAGTTGCTGGAACTGAATAGTACAATCGGATATTGGCGATCGGGTCCACATTACTATAGTCGACCGTAGGACAGCAGCTGCGGCTGCTCAAAGCCATGTCACATCCGACCGACGCGACTCCGCGGACCGGTTTGACGCCGACAACA